TTAACAAAATAATAATTCTAATTTTGCAGGTTTTCACTTTTTCTGTATACTTTTTTGAGTTGTGTCACTTTCATTGCAAAGAATTAGAGTGTTAGAATAAATATTATATAGGGATGTAATCACATAATTTAATAAATCTTATTCTATTAAAATGTGAATTCTAATGAAATGAATTTTATCCGACTTAATAGTCGAAATGGCATGGATAAATATATGTGGATATTTATGTCTAAACGTGTATGGTTGAAATCTTCTCGCAAAACTTTGTTTTTCTATAAATTTTCTGAATCCTCAAGTTTGTTTTCTCCGAAATGCTCGACCTCCCCAATTAGCTAACGATGCGAACCTGTTGCGCGAGGCGTTAGTCTATTATCAAAACTCGTAGTGTTAACATGTATCATCATGTGTGATACATTAGCTGTATATTTTCAACATCATCTTTTCATATTCTTAACGTACGATCTTACGCAAATATTTATCGAATTATTAACAATTTATAAAAATTACCTTCCTTATTTTTAATTTATTGTTTCGGTTGTGGTACTTACTGGTACTCCCTCGTATTATAGGCTTTCTAAACGACATTGAGCCTTGATTATTTTTAAATAATTTATTTCTTTTCTTCAGGATTTCTTCCTGCCTTCTTCCATATCCGACAATTCCATATTTGATAATGGACTTCAGCACTTCCAAAGGACTACAATTACATCGATAACTTTCTCCGTATCTCATCGTGAGTTTTTGCATTTTTGTCCCTCCAGTTGCTTAATGTCATAGGAAAAGATCCGAATTGACACAGGTGACTGGTTGTATTACGTAGAACTTTTGACGAGCATAATGACCACGAATATTTATTACACTCGTCAATAATTTTTATATCTATTTTTTATTTATTAATTTAGAATAGATTTTCTTGCCTATTGTTTTTTTAATGTTAATAATAGTTAATCATTTACAATAATAGTGATAATTATTTATGATAGTTATGGAAATAGTTTCAGTTAATATTACGTTGATAAATGTTTTTTTTTAAATTGTGTTTATAAAATGCTGAAACTCTTTCCACTGAGATCGCGAAAATATATTCTTGAATCATCTAATGCAATTGAAGATATACTTACAAAGATAATTGTTTTCAACACGACTACAAAGGATTTTCATAGTGTTGCGAATATTTAAACACGAGTGTATAGGTTAATGTTGCACAATTAAAATCTTACTATGGCTTTGGGAGATTTCTCTAGATTTCTATTTTAAAAGTATGTTTTTTTTTTTTATTAATATTACAAATATATCAAGCACTCTTCGTTTATTTGAAGAATTTTCTATTTTATATTTAATTTCAATAAAAATTAGTTTTGCTAATATTCTATTAAAATAAATAATAAATCTCAAAACAAAAAATGAAATAAACAAACAAATTTTCTATATAGAGAATAACAAATTAAATGAAAGTTCAGATTTTTGTTTGATTCTGCAAATGATTATAATTAGAAAAGATTAATTTGGTTTGGAATGGATAAGAAAGTTTCCGTTTCTTTTTTTTTTTATATTCGTTTATTATAAATAACAAGATGTATATTCGGTGCGAACGTGTTGTTTAATCTGTGTGTATATATATGTATATATATATACACTCAAGCTCCGTCTAAGTTTATTTCGCTCACTGTACTATACCTTGTTTTATTTTGAGTTGTTGTCAATAATATACTTTATTTCCGCTACAATCTATCTGATGATACGGCGCGAGAAAATTTTTTTTGGAAATTTGCTTTCGGAGGCAACAACTCCACGTAGCACGTCAAAGAAAAACATCGTTATCCTCCCGCGAGATTGTAGTGGCGTTTTGATACCGATTTTTTCTTTTTTTTTTGTGATCGATCGTGTGCAAATGAATTTTTCTCTTTAAACCCTTCGTAACCAACAACCATGTCAGTTTCGCATCCCCTTCGAGCGTTATAGACATTCAATCATCGTTATAGCATTTTTAATTAAAGCGCAGATACGATATAATTCTCGGATAATCGATAATTTATCATTCTCTTGTCTTTTCCTTTCTTTTTCCCCCATTTAATCATAACGAATATAATACAATTCGTAAATTAATTCGTACTAATGATATGCGTCTCGTGAATCTTCAATGAAAGATCAAACATTAAGATTAGATCTTGCTGAACGGTTGTACAATGCGTAATGATATCACACTTTTCCACGATATGTTCAATCAAATACAATTAATGGGAAAACGTTGCTGTGGAAAACTCGAACGTTTTTGGTGGATCTAATCCGTTCTTGAATGTTTCTATAATACAGCTCCAAGAGCGACGTGGAAACGAAGGGATTAATGGTAATGTGTCCTGTGGTCCTTAGAAGCTACAGTTATTTTTTATAGCGCTCGCGTTTTTTTCTTTTTTTTTTTTTTTTTTTTTTTTTTT